ATATATCTATATATGTGTGTGTACACACATGTATATCTATACATATATACACACATATACATATATAATATACATACACATATATACATATATATATATCTGTCACCAACCTGCCTATCCCTCTAGCAATATATTTATCTACCTTCCAGCCATTCATTTTATTTATTCATCAATGTTTGCATCTTTTTAGCCCTCTCATTTATATATCCATATCTGTTCATCCATCCATCCATCCATCATCTCTCTCTGTCCATCTTTTCATTTCTCTCTGCATCCATCCTCTTATCCACCCGTCCACCTGTGTCTCTCTGTGTATGCATCTTTATATCCATCTGTCCATCCATATATCTTTCCGTTTATCCACGCCTGCATCCCTCCGTTTTTATCTGCTTCCTCCTCAGCTTTGGTGCTGGGGCAAAGGTGGTGCACTTCCTGGGACCCACGAAGCCGTGGAGTTACGGGTACAACCCGCAGACGGGCTGCGTCGTGGGAGACGGTGTGGACGCCGGGGACCCCCACCAGCAGGCGTTTCTCAATCTCTGGTGGAACATCTACCACGCCAGCGTCCTGCCTCTTTTGGAGAGACATCGAGATGGGAACGTGCAAGAGGCCCCTGGACACGCGGTGAGCTGGTGGGGTCACCTCCAAAAACCCATGGCTTCACGCCATCCATCGGTGGTCTTTGAGCGATGAGTTGTGAAGTGCCAGATTAGAACTCTTGTTGGTAGGGGCTGTGAAGTCAGCTAGGACTCAGAGACTTTACAAATGACAGATCTGAGCCCTGTCCAGCCATCTCATTGAGGGTCTTCCTCTCTGTCTCTGACCCTCCACCTTCCCCAGCAGGATGTCCTTCTCCAAGGACTGGCCCCAGATGACCACATGCCCACAGTGTGTGAGATCAAGTCTCCCAATCCTGGCCTTCTGAGCTTTCATCCTGGACACATGGTGCCCTCCTGTGGCATCTGTCCCATTCAAACCTTCCCTCTCATGTTGCCTCATCACATGAAAACCCAAAATGGCACAGCATCCTGCCTCTTCCCTCTCTGTGGTTCTCCTTTCCACCCATCCTTCCACTCTCTGATCCCTTCCAGCCTTCTGGCCTTGACCGTGTGCCCGTGCTGCTCTTCTGACCATTCGTGATTGGGAATTCTATGGAGTGAGTGCATCCTTGGCGTGATGGATTATCTCATAGGACTGACTATGGTTTGGATAAACACTGAGTGATGGGTGTTTGTGTCTGTGTGTGCGTGTGAGAGAGAGAGACAGAGAGAGAGAGAGAGAGAGAGAGAGAGAGAGAAGAGGAGAGGAGAGGAGAGGAGAGGAGAGGAAGAGAGAGGAGAGGAAGAGAGAGAAGAGAAGAGAAGAAAAGAGAAGAGAAGAGAAGAGAGAGGTGATTTAGGTTTGAAAAGTCACAACAGGGCATCATCTCTGGGGTTCTTACAGCCTCTCTAAGACCAGGAACCCTGACCTGGTGAATGTTTTTAGACTTGAGTCTACATTGCCCCACATCCACCCCACCCCACCCCAACTTGTTTTCTGTCATCCTTTTGCAAGTGGTCTGCGGTGCTAACTAGGCATCATTTAGTGCTTCTGGCCTCCAGCTCATAAAGGGTGAGTGGTCTTTCAAGTCCTTTGGACTGTTTTAATCCATCTTTGCATTTCTTCCTACTTCTCTATGAGAGAGAGAGGTGAAGAGAGAGAGAGAAAGGGAGAGGGAGGGAGGGAGGGAGGGAAGAAGGGAGGGAAGAGAGACAGAGAGGAAGAAGGAGGAAGAGAGGAGAGGAGAGGGGAAGAGAGAGA